TCCGGCAAGGAGAGACGGGGCTAGATGTTGAGCTGATGCGCGTTGTACCGGACCGCAAACGTCCACAGAAAATGAGGAGCAGCCGCATGGATCATGGAGGTACAAGCGACCTCCATGACTAAGCCAATGCGGCACTCAGTAACCCCATTCTGCTGCGGAGAGGCCGGAAGCGTGAACGACTGGCGGATGCCCTCCCCACGACAAAAGTCCCGCAAGAGGTCGGAGGCGAACTCACCACCTCTGTTAGAGTGCAGACGCAGGACAGGAAGGTCTGTGTGGAACCGCTCGCGGAGCTGGAGATGGACAGCGCGGATCCAAGGGATCAGTACATCAGGGACCTCCCCCTTGTTGCGCAAGGGGAAGACCGTGGAGTAACGCGAGTAGTCGTGAACAACCAGCAGAAAGTATCGCTCGCGGCCCTGTCCACGGACGCGGGCTGGGCCCCACACGTCCATGTGGAGAGTCTGCAGGGGAGCAGTCGTCGGGGGAAATGAGGAGGAGTGAGGAGCGGCGCGCTGCCGCCCCTCGACACAGGGAAGGCAGGGAGGGGCAGGCGAGGGTGGGAGGGGAGGCAGAGACTTGGGAAGACCAGAGACAAGGAGGCGGGCGTGGCAGGGAGGGGTGACCTAGGCGGTGGTGACAAAGGAGAGTCTGGTGCGACAAGAGGCGACACGAACAGGGGGCTGCTAGCTGACCTGACGCGGACGTAGACGTAGCTACCTGAGGAGGCTCAGTAGTCAGCGTATACAGACTCGACCCAGGCCGACGGGTGAACGTGGCCAGGTGACGGCCCGTCCGTGTATACGTGCAGATCGACACACGCTGACCCCTTGGAGTGGTGGTAGTGACCATCGCATCCTAGAGGGCGGCGGTACTCACCAAGTTAGTAGAGAACGAGGGGAGGTGAAGACCTGAGAGTGAGCCTGACGGAACCGCTGGACACGGGAGAACAGTGGAGGAACGTGCAAGATTTGGGCCCCATGAGGGGTCAGCCAGCCTGACTGCAACGGGTGCAGGGAGTGGTGTGACTGTGGTACTGTCGCGAAAGAAACAGCGAGAAGCACCTGAGTCAAGTGTGAAGGTGTGCAAGGCCTCAGCAGGCGCAATACCAGGGAGAGCAGACACACTAGCACCTAGAGCAACAGCCTCTATACCTGGGTCGGGCGGCATACACAGGTAACAGTCACCCTCAGCACTAACAGTCAAAGAATACATGGCAGCAAGGATAGCATCACACTCAAGAGCAAAGATACCCCCACCCTGCTTAAGCAGCTCTAGCCAGCGGGGGAGCTCAGTCGCTCGGGAAACTCTTCGCGCCAGGCGTCGTGAAGACGGGAGAAGCAGCGGGATTGTGTGTGTACCCGACCTTCCCGCATGTCTGACCAGCTTGTTCACCTGTGCGAATGACGTACTGGCAGCGAACACTACCCCCAGACGCCCCACGCTGAGCAAACCACTCACGAAGCTCCTGAGGCGAAGGGGTCTCACGCGGACGCTGCTGCTACTGCCTCTGACCACCGCCACAACCTCCCCTCTAACCGGGTCCACCCCGACCGTAGCCACCGCCGCCGCCACCACTCCCACTGCCGCCACCACTGCCGCCGCCACCACTCCTACTGCCGCCACCACCGCCGCCACCAACGCCTCCACTCCCACCACCACTCCCTCCGCCACCACCGCCACCTCCACCGCCTCCACCGCCTCCACCACCGCCTCCACTGCTGCCACCCCCACCACCCTTGCCTCCCTTGCCCGTGCCGCTATGGCGCCTCCCACTAGGAGCAGACACAGCCCCAACCTCCTCAGCACGAAGGAAGTCAACAGCAGCAGCAGAAGCTTAGGAGGGTCCAAGGGGGGAGGGGGAACACCCCTCTTAGAAGGGAGTGCAATGAGTGCCACAAGCAGCACCTACAGCGACTATGCTAGCCTCAGCTGTAAGGAGGTGCTTCTCGAGCAGGTCGACAGTGAGGTCTATGGGGTCCATGGCAAGAAAGAGGTCCCTGACTGCGCTAAGAGAGTCAGGGAGGCGGGTGACGATGAAGTAGAGAGCGATGTACATGGGGGGGGGGAGGTTCTTGTCTAGAAACATGGTGGGAAGCGCGGCATGGTAGCGAGTGTCACTAGCGCCAAGGTGGGTGACTTGGTCGTCAACTGTGGCAAAGGCGGACAGCTCACGAAAGAGGTAGGGCAGTATATGGCAGCCGAGAGCAGCAGTGGCAGGGGAGGAGTAACGAGCGACTACAGGGCCTTACAGGGCTTTAGCAGTCTTGTGCTGGCCAAAGTGAGCGTGTTCGGCTAACGGCAAGTGGCAAGCAGCAGCGTCACAGGTAAGCCTCTGTGAGCGAGTCGCACTGTCAGTTGTGTCAGGAGGGGCGAGAGAGGCTCCATACGTGTGGTCAAACAACAAAATGTTGTCTCTAGAATCGCTCAGTAGGAACAGCTGTAAGTCATCGAGCCACGTATCAAACTGAATCGGATGGCCCTTTGGATCAAATGTGAGGACGCTGAGAGTAGCCATAGCGGGCAAAGCAGGGTGGCGCGCGAACAGCAGGGCAGCACGCAACCAAGGACGGCGCGACGGGTAGGGCGGGGTGCAAGCGCTAGGGGAGCGCACAGGGCAGGGCGGCGCAACTGGCACGGTAGGGCGGCGGCCAGCAGGGCGGCGCGCGGGCAGGGCAGGGCAGGGCGGCGGCGAGCAGGGCGGCGCGTTGGCAGGGCAGGGCAGGGCGGCGGCCAGGAGGGCGGCGCGTGGGCAGGGCAGGGCGGTGCGGCGTTCAGCAGGGCGGCGCGCAGGCAAGGCAGGGCGGCGCGCAGGCAGGGCAGGGCGGTGCGGTGCGCAGGGAGGGCAGGGCAGGGCGACGCGGCGACCAACAGGGGAGCGCGCGGCCAGCAGGACGGTGCGCGGGCAGGGCAGGGCGTGCGCGGGCGGCACGACGCAGGGCAGGGCGCGCGCGGGGCAGTGCGACGCAGGGTAGGGCAAGGCATGCGCAGGGCGGCGCGACGCGAGGCAGGGCCAGGCGTGTGCAGGCGGCGTGATGCAAGGCAGGGTGTGCGCGGGGCGGCGCGACGTAGGGCAAGGCGCGTGCAGGCGGCGCGACGCGGGGCAGGGCAGGGCGGCGCGGCGCTAGCAGGGCGGCGCGACGGGCAGAGCAGAGCAGCGCGCGGCCAGCAGGGCGGCGTGCAGGCAGGGCAGGGCAGCGCGAGGCCAGCAGGAAGGCATGACGGGAGGGGTAGCACGACAGGCAGGGTACGGCGCTACGGGCAGGGTAACGCGCTACGGGCAGCGAACTATACGGTGGGCCCTAAAAAACGGTCTTGGGACAGGACCTGCTCTGAAACCATGTCAGAAGACTAAGCGAGGATGATTGCATGGAACAGAAAGTTGGTACAAGTACTAACCCTAATTGGGTTGTACCCCATATGGGCTACCCCACTACAGCATACACAACACACACAACATAATAGTTTGACATGCGCACCTATTATGAGCGTACCAAGCAGAGTCCAGGCGCTCAAATCTTGCAAACCACATGGAATGAAACGAAAACACTTGTTGTGGACGTGGAGAATAGTCCAGTCTAGTGGCTTTGCAAGAAAAAGGGCCATCCAATAAAGTTGACCAATCAAAGTGATGCGTTGGGCAGACTGGTCAGTATGCGCACTTATAATGAGCGTACCAGGCAGAGTTTAGGCGGCAGAGTTCAGGTGCTCAGATCCTGCAAACCACCTGGAATGTAACGAATATATTTGTTGTGGATGTGGAAAATAGTCTCATCTAGTGGCCTAGCAAGAAAAAAGAGACATCCAATGAAGTGGACTAATAACCCCAGATGATGCGGCGAGGGAGATTGGGACGGCGCCAAACCATTGGGCAAGTGACCATTCCGGTTGTGAAAAGTCTGGATGTGTCCTGCAAAAGGTGTGTTACTGAGAATTAGGGGAGGGAATGTGCTCTTTACGAGCAAGGGTCAGAAACGCACAAGGCGGTCGCGCGTGATCCCAGCAAAGGCGCGGGATGTCCTGATACGCGCGCATTGCTCCAACCTGCAGGTGGGGGATCGTTTGCGCTTTCTGGGGGAGCGCGTAAAATGTCCGCACTGTGGCGAGGCGGAAACGGTGGATCATGCGCTGTTTTCTCGTCGCGTCATCCAGCCTGTGGTGCATGCGCTGATCAAAGCCATCCATTGGCTCAACCCATCGAGAAAGATAAAGTCGCTTGGCGACCTCCTGTTTCAGCGGGGGGGCACATCATCGGGCTTTCCGGAACTTACTGTATCAGCGATCGTGTTCCACCAGATCTGGGTGGAGCGCTGTCATGCGGTCTTCAGGGGGAAGAAGTTTCGATGTGGGAAGGTGATGAGGAGGGTCGTAACAGCTTTCTGCTTGCATGCGCGAACCTACGAGGGCATCAAGCGGAGGAAGGCTTGGGCGAAGAAGCAATACGTGGTTAAAAAACACCTGGCGAAAGATGAGACCACGGCACTTGAGAATGTCAGCACGCGATTGGGCAGCCGAGTGATGTGGCGGGATGACTTTCTGGCCATCTGGACGGACCGGAGAGTTAGGTTCAAGCCTCCGTATGTTTCTCCTGGGGGTGACTCATGATATGACATGCATCTGTCCCCCCTCGCGCAACAGTTACGACTGTGGCTTTTTTGCTGTATCCTTGATATAGTGAAATGACTTCTATTAAATAAAAATTTAAAAAAAAAAAAAAAAAAAAAAGGCGGTGCTTGCTTGGTTCAACAAACAACTATCGCCGGAAAAAGATGAAATATTTTGTTCACGGAGCCAACAGCTTTGTCAACGAATCGTTCCATTGGCTGATTCTCAAATACGCCCCTAAGTGTATTCGGTTCCAGGATAGTCTTGTGCCATGGGTGGCTTTCGCTGTCTTGCATTGAAGTAACTCGATGAATGGATTGGTCACTTCCTATCACACACGAGTACGGCAAGTAACGCGGGAGCACCGGGGCAATAAGGATCGTACACTAGGACCAATGGAATGGTCGTGGGTTGATCGGATCATGGCGGAGTGGCAACGATCGTTAGGGGAGGGCGTCGACGACGATGTTATTGAAGATGCATCAAGGAGCCAAGGAAAGGAGCAGCAGCCCGCAGACATATCTGATGGAAGGGGCCTCTCATCTGTACAGCAGCCTGTGACACCTATGGGGGTTCAGAAAGGTCCCACATTATCAATTTGGCCGCCACGCCGCATCGCTCCGACGTCCATGTGCGACCCCATGGTAATAATGAACCCTACTATTTATCCCCAAACACCCGTACCAGAGGGACTTTGCCTCCCCCCTCCTCCCCCCCCCACCCTCCCCCCCTCCCTCCACACTTTCTTGTCTCCCTCTAGTCCTTCAGCTTGACCAAAACTTCTTTTTTGTCTCCCCATCCCCCATTCCTGCTATACATCATGCCGGTGCAGGGAGTGCAGCTGCTGCCGTACGAACAGAGGGACATGGAGGTGGCACGGCGGCTGTCCCTGGTGGAAGCCTCGGCCCCCCAGGACATCAAGCGCCTAGTGGCCGTCTCCAAACACATCATCATTGGTCGAGGGACCTTCTGGTGCAAATGACACCTGGTGCAGTGCAGGTGGCTCTGGTGTGTTGCAGGTGACCTTTGGTGCATTTGGTATATGCACCAGTGCATGATATCCCCTGCCCTCTCCCCATTCTCTCATCTTCCCCCTCCTCTCTCCCGACCCCACTCAACTCTCTCATCCTTTCCATGATACCTACTACAAGCCATTCCCAGAGACAATCACACTGCCCCTTTCCCACCTCCTCTCTCTCCCTTCTTTTCCCTCCTTCCCCACCACTCCCCACTCCCTCCCTTTTTGACAGCCTTTGCACACAATAAGCAATGAGAGCCAGCTTGTCAAGATGCTGCCCCTCCTCCCTGTTCTCAGCTCCCTTTACCATCTTCTTCTCCTCTGCCCCCCGCCCCACTCCCCCCCCAAAACCCCCCACCCCCCTCCCCCATCCGCCGAAATAGCACAGGTGCTCCCTACTATTTTTGTCACCACCATGCCTCCTTGCGCCCTCCCACGTCACACCCTACCATTATGCCCTACCCATTCCTCCCCTCCCCCCGTACGCCCTGCCCCCTCCGATTTCAATTCATTCCTCCCCTCCGCCTACTCCCGCCTGGATCATCAGGCCGCAACACTCCCCACAGGTGACGCCCTCTGGGTGGCCCAGACGCTCATCCCCGACATAAGTTCTTTTAGAACGCTTACAAGCCTTCTCCCTCCCTATCTTGCTCTTGCATCACCACCAGGTCGCAGCACCGCCAGTGGGCGATGCCCTTTGGGTAGCTCAGCCGCTAACCCCCAAAACACCCCCTGCCTCCTCCAACCCTTTTGAGAATGCTCTTAATCCCTCTCCCACCCTGTATGCCTTCTTCCCACCTGATGTCATCACCATCAGGTCGCATCTTTTCTTGTGGAAGATGCCCTCTAGGTGGCGCCTCTCCCTCACCTCATCCACCTTTATCTATCTCCTCCTCCACCTCCTCCTCCCTTCCCTCCTCCATCGCATCATACTCCTCCTCTATTGTTCCCCCATCCACCCTCCCTGCCTCTTTTGCTCTCCCTGACTACCCTGCCCTCTATTCCGCTTGGAGTGAATGGCGGAGCACAAGAGAGTAGATAACATGTGGAGGTCAATCGAGTCAATGCAATTCAAGGACTAGAAGGTGCAGATCAATGTGGGTGCAGCTTTTACCTGAGAAATATCGCAAAACTAACTAGTCATTCAACTTCCACTGCCCGATCCTCCGTTCTGCTTGGAGTGGGTGGCGGAGCGCAAGAGAATGGATGACCAGTGGGTAAATTAGGTCAAAGCGAGTAAAGGACCAGAAGCTGAGGATCAAGGTGGTTGGCTTGAATAGGACCGGAAGCTGAAAAAACCCCTCTATGATCTTCACTAGAGGGGAGTTCGATTAAATACGCTTTTATGAGTCTAGTGAGAGCAGTCACGAGGAGTGCAGAAAGTAGATATATGTGGCTTATTGTGATCTAACGCTATGAATGTGAACCACACCACATGTATGCACCGCACACAATGCATTTACCCTCCCTTTACTTTTCCCTTTCCCTCCCTCCCTTTCCCTTCCCTTCTCCCCCTCCCACGTCCATCGCACAGCATACAATGCCAGCTAACTTCCCTGCTCCCTTTGCCCTATCACACACCACCATGTTCGTGCACGATGGCTTTGATGGGCATCACACCCCATGCATTGCGAGCCACTCTCTCGTAATATCGTGTCTCACTGTCTTCGCCCTTCCACTTACACCACAAGGTCCCTCCATACTCTTGTGCACAACGGCTCGGACGTGCATCACACCACGTGCATAGCTCACAAGTGCCGCCAGTATGCCCATCTCACTCACACGCCTAGCTGGCTGCAACCCTTACTAGCCGGACAACGAAGTCAGCTTCGCCCAAGCGAGGGCGGGGCCTTCTCTCGTCAACAACCCCGTCCCCTTGTCATGTGTCATTTCCCCTCTCCCCTCCCCCCCCTCCCCCATGCCATCAGGTGCGCGGCCTCATAGTGGACATGGCTACGCCCATCTTCTGCCCATCGCTCCACTCCCACTCTTGTCCCTTTGCCACTTTCTATCCCCCCAACACTCCCCCCCCCCCACCCTTTCAGCTATGCGGCCTCACAATGGACATGGCTACTGCTATCCACCACCACCCCTCCCTGCCTACCCCACATGGCGCCTATATGTTTCTTGTGCATCCGTCGCTCTCGTCCTTCTCAACTAATGCGCATTCATTTGTCTTTAGTTGTGAGACCTCTTCAAAATATGCCTGCTTGGGGTGGAGCTGTAGGGGTGGGGTGACTTGAGTCCACACCTCTAGGCTCTGCCGCCCTCCGGTTTCAACCAGAGCACCGAGCCTTGCAGACACCCTCGTGATTCATCTTCTACGGCTGTCGAGGTCGCAGAGTCGCCGCCTGGCTCTAATTATCTCGTGTTAGTTGAATCTGGTCCGTCAGTTGCCTTGCTCCCTGCTCATCGGAGAGCCCACGCACCCCTCCTCATTTCCCGCCGCTTGATTTGTCAGTCACTCCCCCAACGTGCCCGTCCCTACAGCTCCACCCCACCCCACCACAAGAAATGTTTAGGCCCCACCGACGTCTATAGTCTGGCGGGTTTGTTCAGTCCACAATTGCCTAACCATTTCTTGTGTGCCCATCGTTCAAGACCCTTGCGTACTTCACGCGTCCATGCTATGTTTAGCATACCAGCTTATATTAACAATTGTGTGGAGTTGTGGTTCTGCTTGTTGATTCTAGTCATGAACATATGGCTCCACTTACCTTCCCCCTGGAAAAAAATATCGTTGAAGTATTATGACTCATAACGCACGCTCCTCAAGTCGTCCAGTTGTTGTGTCCTACTAGTCATCATCTAATTCACCCCCTCTTTGCCTGCCACCTTGCACATAGCTAACGTGCCCCCACGTCTCTGCCCTTGTGCACGTGTCTGAACTTCTGCACTCGTTGCAGTGCCTTGCCCTCTTCCTTGCTGCCCCTCATCCCCTTCCTGTGCCTCCCTCACATCTGCATCACTCTCGTCTCATTCTCTACCTCTCTCTCCCTCTTTTTCCACCCGAATATAACACCTCTTTCTTCTCCATTTTCTGTATCATGCTCTCTCCTCTCAATTTCCCCTCTATCTCACCTTCATGGGCAGGAGGGGGACCAAAAGGCAGAGGAACGACTGATGTGTCGTGTGTATGTGAATGTGAAGGCTGATGGCGTTGCCATGAATAAATATGATTAGGAGCTAATCTGAATGCCAATTCAACACACGCACCTAAACTGTTTCCTGTCACAAGTGAAACCATGAATGCATTATTACATTGTGCTGTGTTTATACATATATATATATAAGGGCGGGTCCTACGCGTACGTTTTCGGTTGCATTACAGTTCATCCTATGCGGTTAATCTTATTGCCTCGAGGTGCAAAACGGTGAAGATTTAGAACCGCTGTGCACCAGTTTATATCGTCTCGAACATCGACGGATGAACTGTAAAGTACCTGTAAACGTACGCACTGGACCCGCCCTAATGCCATGTCACTCGTGTTACAATGTTTAAAGACAAATTGTTTGAAACAAATGTTTCGGAAAACGGCCGCCCTAGCTCAGTTGGTAGAGCGCAAGGCTCTTAACCTTGTGGTCGTGGTTCGAGCCCCACGGGCGGCGAGTTGTCGGGAGACTTATAAATGTGCAGGGCTAGACAGTTTATCTCTTGATCGTGAGGATGAATGGCTTTTTTCCCCTCCTTTTGATAATATCCACCGTGGTCCCCTGGGTAGAACCCGCCTAGAAAGCAGTCTCCCGAGAATCGTGGATGAGTGACTATTTTTGTGGCAGGGTTCTCTGAGGTTCCCACTTTTGGCATTGATGTTTTAAAGACACCCCTTTGTTGTATACAGATATACTCGTTGGCGTCGTCGTTGGCGTCGTCGTTGGCGTCGTCGTAGGCATCGTCGTTGGCGTCGTCGTTGGCGTCGTCGTAGGCGTCGTCGTTGGCGTCGTCGTTGGCGTCGTCGTTGGCGTCGTCGTTGGCATCGTCGTTGGCGTCGTCGTAGGCATCGTCGTCGGCGTCGTCGTAGGCGTCGTCGGCGTCGTCGTAGGCATCGTCGGCGTCGGCATCGTCGTAGGCATCGTCGGCGTCGGCGTCGTCGTCGGCGTCGGCGTCGTCGTCGTCTTCGGCATCGTCGTCGGCGTCGTCGTCGGCGTCGGCGTCGTCGTCGTCGTCGGCGTTGTCGTCGGCGTCGGCGTCGTCGGCGTCGGCGTCGTCGGCGTCGTCGGCGTCGTCGTCGGCGTCGGCGTCGTCGTCGTCGGCGGCGTCGTCGGCGTCGTCGTCGTCGTCGTCGGCGGCGTCGTCGGCGTCGTCGTCGGCGTCGTCGTCATCGGCGTCGTCCGTCGGCGTCGTCGTCGGCGTCGTCGTCTTCGGCGTCGTCGTCGGCGTCGTCGTCGGCGGCGTCGTCGTCGTCCGCGTCGTCGTCGGCGGCGTCGTCGTCGTCGGCGTCGTCGTCGGCGGCGTCGTCGTCGTCGGTGTCGTCGTCGTCGGCGTCGTCGTCCGCGTCGTCGTCCGCGTCGTCGTCGTCGTCCGCGTCGTCGTCCGCGTCGTCGTCCGCGTCGTCGTCCGCGTCGTCGTCGGCTTCGTCGTAGGCGTCGTCGTCGGCGTCGTCGTCGGCGTCCTCGTCGTCGTCGGCGTCCTCGTCGTCGTCGGCGTCGTCGGCGTCGGCGTCGTCCTCGTCGTCGTCGTCGGTGTCATCGTCGGCGCCGTCGGCGTCGTCGTCGGCGTCGTCGTCGGCGTCGTCGTCGGCGTCATCGTAGGCGTCGTCGTAGGCGTCGTCGTAGGCGTCGGCGTCGTCGTAGGCGTCGGCGTCGTCGTAGGCGTCGGCGTCGTCATAGGCGTCGTCGTAGGCGTCGGCGTCGTCGTAGGCGTCGTCGTCGGCGTCGTCGTCGGCGTCGTCGTAGGCGTCGTCGTAGGCGTCGTCGTCGGCGTCGTCGTAGGCGTCGTCGTAGGCGTCGTCGTAGGCGTTGTCGTAGGCGTCGTCGTCGTCAGCGTCGTCGTCGGCGTCGTCGTCGTCGTCGTCGCCGGCGTCGTCGTCGTCGTCGTCGTTGACGTCATCGTCCGCGTCGTCGTCCGCGTCGTCGTCCGCGTCGTTGTCCGCGTCTTCGTCCGCGTCGTCGTCCGCGTCGTCGTCCGCGTCGTCGTCCGCGTCGTCGTCCGCGTCGTCGTTGGCGTCGTCGTACGCGTCGTCGTTGGTGTCGTCGTAGGCGTCGTCGGCGTCGGCGTCGTCGTCGGCGTCGGCGTCGTCGTCGTCGTTGTCGTCGTCGACGGCGTCGTCGTCGTCGTCGTCGGCGTCGGCGTCGTCGACGGCGTCGTCGTCGGCGTCGTCGTCGGCGTCGTCGTCGTCGGCGTCGTCCGTCGGCGTCGTCGTCTTCGGCGTCGTCGTCGGCGTCGTCATCGGCGTCGTCGTCGTCGGCATCGTCGTCGTCCGCGTCGTCGTCGTCCGCGTCGTCGTCCGCGTCGTCGTCGTCCGCGTCGTCGTCCGCGTCGTCGTCCGCGTCGTCGTCGGCGTCGTCGTACGCGTCGTCGTCGGCGTCGTCGTACGCGTCGTCGTCGGCGTCGTCGTAGGCGTCGTCGTTGGCGTCGTCGCCGGCGTCGTCGTCGGCGTCGGCGTCGTCGTCGGCGTCGTCGGCGTCGGCGTCGGCGTCGTCCTCGTCGTCGTCGTCGGCGTCGTCGTCGTCGTCGGCGTCGTCGTCGGCGTCGTCGGCGTCGTCGTCGGCGTCGTCGTCGGCGCCCTCGTAGGCGTCGTCGTCGGCGTCGTAGTAGGCGTCGTCGTAGGCGTCGGCGTCGTCGTAGGCGTCGTCGTCGGCGTCGTCGTAGGCGTCGTCGTAGGCGTCGTCGTAGGCGTCGTCGTAGGCGTCGTCGTAGGCGTCGTCGTAGGCGTCGTCGTCGTCGGCGTCGTCGTCGTCGGCGTCGTCGTCGGCGTCGTCGTCGTCATCGTCGGCGGCGTCGTCGTCGTCGTCGTCGACGTCGTCGTCCGCGTCGTCGTCCGCGTCGTCGTCCGCGTCGTCGTCCGCGTCGTCGTCCGCGTCGTCGTCCGCGTCGTCGTCCGCGTCGTCGTCCGCGTCGTCGTCCGCGTCGTCGTCCGCGTCGTCGTCGTAGGCATCGTCGCCGGCGTCGTAGGCGTCGTCGTCGGCGTCGTAGACGTCGTCGTCGGCGTCGTAGGCGTCGTCGTCGGCGTCGTAGGCGTTGTCGGCGTCGTAGGCCTCGTAGGCATCATAGGCGTCGTCGGCGTCGTAGGCGTCGTAGGCGTCGTAGGCGTTGTCGTCGGCATCGTAGGCGTCGTCGTCGGCGTCGTAGGCGGCGGCGTCGTCGTCGACGTTGTCGGCGTCGTAGGCGGCGGCGTCGTAGGCGGCGGTCGTCGTCGATGTCGTCGGCGTCGTCGTCGTCGACATCGTCGGCGTCGTCATCGCTGCCGTGGTCGTCGGCGTCATCGCGGTCGTCGTCATCGTGGTGGTGGTGGTCGTCGTCGTCGTCGTCGTCATCGTTGTTGTCGTCGTCGTTGTCGTCGTCGTCGTCGAGGTCGTCATCGTCGTCGTCGTCGACGTCATCATCATCGTCGTCGACGTCATCGTCATCGTCGCCGTCGTCGGCGACGTGGTCGTCGTAGTCGTGGTCGTCGTCGTAGTCGTGGTCGCCGTGGTCGTCGTCGTGGCCGTGGTCGACGTCGTCGTCGTCGCCGTCGCGGTCGTCATCATCGTCATGGTCATCGTCGTTTTTTTTTTTTTTTTTTTTTTCCCATGACTTATATTAACGATTATTGATATATGAAACAATGACACCAACTCTTCACTTTCTATCAAGTAACACAGCATATGGTATTACTGTACTCTGGAACGGTACCAACGCCTTTTTCAAATAAAACATTGTTTCATCAGTTCTTCCGCATATCTCATACATGGATGAAGTATAATTTTGTGAGAATAGTGTCAGAATGTGTAGTTTGTCAAGCCTGCAGTGGGGTACTCTATAGTGAGTACAGCCCCTTAGGGTTTCCTATATCTATCCACCTGCTTGCTAGTGAAACCCCTCCATTGCTTATTCTCTCTTGCATAACTAGCTAAACCCTAGTTATGGCTCCTGCGTTCTAACTACTATTCTGACATGCTATCAGAGCGGTTACGCTCCTAGCCTGTGGGCCCGCCTCCTTCCGCTGCCATACTGTCTGTCGCGCGCCCCGTGGCGTGCGATGTTCAATTTTTCTTCCCGCCACGCCCTCGGGGCGCGTGGCGGTTTTCTGCCCGCCATGCGCTCGGGGCGCGTGGCGGTTTCCTGCCCACCGCGCGCCCTGGGAACGCGCGGCGGTTTCGTCGCCCGTCGTGGCGCCCCGGGGGCCCGCGCGTCCCCCCCTCCCGTCGCCCGTCGTGGCGTCCCGGGGGCCCGCGCGTCGCCCCTCCTCCCGTCGCCCGTCGTGGCGTCCCGGGGGCCCGCGCGTCGCCCCTCCTCTCGTTGCCCGTCGTGGCGCCCCGGGGGCCCGCGCGTCCCCCCCTCCCGTCGCCCGTCGTGGCGTCCCGCGGGCCCGCGCGTTGCCCCTCCTCCCGTCGCCCGTCGTCGCGTCCCCGGGGCCCGCGCGTCGCCCCTCCTCCCGTCGCCCGTCGAAGCGCCCCGGGGGCCTGCGCGCCGCCCTTCCCGTCGCCCGCCGCGGCGCCCTGGGGGCCCGCGCGTCGCCCCTCCCTCTCGTCGCCCGTCGAAGCGCCCCGGGGGTTGTGCGCCGCCCTTTCCCGTCGCCCGTCGCAGCGCTCCAGGGACCCATGCGCCACCTGCGTTTAGGGTATGGGGTGGTGGGTGTGGGGGTGGCAGGTGTGGGGGTGGCGGGTGTGTGAGCCGTCCCCTGCTCCTCCTCCTCCTCCGTCTCCCACTGCTGCAGCTGCCGCTGAGGGGGGTGGGTGTGTGGGAGCCGTGGGAGTAGTGCTAGGGGGGTGTCGTGGGAGTGAAGCTAGGGGTGCAGCAAGGGGTGTGTGAACGGGAGTTTTGGGACAAAGCGGGAGGTTGAAGGGGGGTGGCCGCCGTGAAGCCAGCAGCTCGAGTCGCCCGTGAGACCGTTGCGCCAGTCGCCCGTGAGCCCGTCGCTCCAGTCGCCCGTGAGCCCGTTGCTCCAGTCGCCCGAGAGTCAGTTGCTCCTGCCGCTCGTCTAGCTGCGGAGCCAGTTACTCCAGTTGCCCGTTTGCCAGTTGCTCCAGTTGCCATTGTGCCAGTTGCTCCAGTTGCCCGTGTGCCAGTTGCTCCAGTTGCACCGTGTGCCAGCAGCTTCAGCTGCCGCCCACTACCTCCTCTCCCCTCATAGTCCCTCCTCCTCCTCACTAGCCCTCTGTGATAGCCTCTAGCTTTGCTTATATTTGTAAACAATGAACTGCTGCTTGTTGTACTGATCATACCCCACTTTGATTATGGGGGTGTGTCAGAATGTGTAGTTTGTCTAGCCTGCAGTGTTTTCCGCAGCATTCTTGCTTTTCGTTGCTGCCGAGCCCGTTGATGTTGAGCTCGAGAAGGGTGAGTTTGTTGTGTTTATCCATTTAACCACTCTGTTAAGCCCCACAGCATCCACGGGCGTTTGAGCTTCATTGCAACGATAAAACCTGCTACAGCGAGAGAGAACATGGCACCAACTACACATCGTGCTGTCACGATTGATCTTGTTGCATCGCCACCCATTCCGGCCATGTTGCTGCCGGCTGAGCCACTGATAACCTCTTCGTCGGCTTTACGATGTACTCCTTTGTGAAGGCGACCAGCTTATGTGAATGCTTGCTGGCACGTGTTGCAGCTCCCTCTTTCTGCAGTCCCCCTTTGTGCTTGCTCGAACCGATTCCCTTGCGCCTTCTCGCACGCCGTTTGAACACAGACCCAGTCCTCCCGCGAGCCTCTGGTGGAGGTGAGTACAATGGCAGCATCCCTCATGATCCGCTTCAGAAGGTCTAAGGATTTCAGGGATGCAGCTGCCGGGGGAGGCGAGCAGATGGTGGTCAGTATAAGGTAAGAGAAGAAAATATAGTGGCGAAATCTCCATCGATAACGGTCGAAAAGGCTCTCTGCGTGTACCGTTGAACTCATGAACCCTTTTTACCGTCAAGTTCCAGTTGGCAAAACTCTCCCGCCGCAGGATAACTTATTGATCATGGTAGCGTGACATATGTTGGCCGCCGCAGAAATCGCAGGTAAGCAATGGAAAATGAAGAAGGTATCGCTTTCCTATCGACGGTTCCTCCGCGAAATACCTCCAGTGGTACTCGTCAGCAGCATGAGGGATAATCAGTCCGCGAATGCGGTCGGTGTCCATCCCTGTTACCGGGTCGACAGTGCAGTTGAAACCAAAACCGTTGACGAAAGGGCTCTTGCCACGCTTGACCAGTTTCGAGACCACCAGCAGGCAACGAATCAGCTCCGCGGTGATCTCAGCCGCGACCTCTTTGAGTACAACCTTCTTCGATGTCAGGTTCTGAATGCGCTCGCGCAGGAAACGCGCATTCTCAGGGTGCTGCCAGGTGAGGTCAATGAAAACCCCATTGATGCACTCGTGACTAATAACTCGGTTCCAAACGAAGTTCGTGTCCCTGGCGTGGTTGAATGTGACTTGCACGTAACGCTTGCCAGAGAAGTACATCGCCGGAAGTTCTTGGTATGTCGTCGTCTGTTGAGCATCAGGGGATAAATGGTCTTTCCAATCATCCAGCATCGCAATGACAGTCACTGAAGCGCGAGTAGCTTCTGCCTTCCTGACAATCGGTACGAGTAAGGTTAGCGAAAAACGTTTAAAAGCAATGACATTGCTTAGCGAATCCGGTTCTAGATGTTCATCGGAGTCGTCGCTCAGGTAATCGTCATCTTCGTCATCAGGAGACATGGCCGACAGCGTATCAGTTTCCTCTTGCGTGTCGTCATCAGCATCAACTTCCGCAGCTTCGTCGTCACCAGCATCATCCTTCGAAACCTTCTCAGAAGCACCTTCCATGCCTCCAGCCTTTTCCTCGCCTGAACCCGCACCCTGATCAATGTTATTTTGCAGGTCCAGAAGGTCTTCAAACGGACCATTCACAACGGCCGACGCAGATACGGAAGCCGGTTTCCCCTTGTCAGTGGCTTCCTTCTCGGGTAAGTCCGGTAAACCATCTCCCGCATGCTCCTGATCCTTGTCAGAGCCATTTTTGTTGCTCTTGTTGCTTTGTCCCCTCCGCATAGTGCGATGATGAGATAAGCTTGGCAGCCTGGCAATGGCTGAAACGCAAGCCGTTCTGAGCACATAAACTGTTTCAACTGCCATTTTATGTTGTTGGTGCTTGAGAGTGAACCTCTGCATGTCCAAGCATGATAATCCCGTGGGTCGCTTTGGGATTGACATCCATCCTCGAGAAAGTAAGTCATTGGTTTTGACGCGAGCCGTAAGTTGACGGTGATGAATGGCGCGATGGAATCCATGGAGAAACTTGTAATAATGATAGTAGCCTTGAGTAGACTCCTGAATGACTGATGTATGCAGCAACGTCGATAGCATGGAACTCATAAAACTAGTGTTTAGGTTCCCTTGATGAACACTAAAAAGACACCGTTGTGTAGAGCTTAAAGCCACGCTTCGAAAGAGTGCATCAGATCCAGTATCATCAGGCGAATATAAATTGGCCTGCTTAAAGCTTCCGGCCATGGCCATGACTGCTGTAAGGCCTAGAGCTCGATCGACATCACCAGACAAGATGAGTGTGTGTGTGTGTGTGATTTTTTTTTTTTTTTTTTAATGGAAACACTTAACACACTGTAAGGCAAAGCACACATTTCTCTACAAAGAGATGCACATATTTCTCCACCACCTCATGTCATATGGAAATATGTCTGACAAACATGTTTCACATATGTCGAGACCAACATATTTCTCCACTATGTCGAGATCGACTATGTGCGTGTCAAGAGGTACCCCCCTTTGACCTCCCCTACCACACGAAAGAACGCGCGGTGTTGAGGTGGCGGAACGGCAAACCACTAGGCGGAATGCATTCTTGGTGAGTGGAAAATGTCGGTTACAAGGTAGGCTTCTTGGGCAAAGCTGTAAAACAAAATTCAAACAGAGTTCTGAAAATTTTAGTGCTGTAGGACTACGCGGGTCTTCCTTATTGGGCCAAAACTATCGATGTTTGATTGAAAGTCCCAGGAGAAGCACCAGCTAGTTCAGGGTAAATCGCCATATTGACCCAATGCCTCCCATCCCAGCCACTTGTGATTGGTCTTGTGCACTTCACGCGCGTCTTCTTCTTCCCCCCATCAATCAACAGCACACATCCTCCAATCTCCAATTCTTGGCTCGCAAGATTGTTCCACAACCTCAAGTTGGTAAAAGCGCAAGCATTCAGAGGTACACACCATATTGTGTTGCTTCGTGCTAAGTTTAGAATGTCGAGTAGCTTTGAGTGGAAATGCGCCTCGACTGGAGATGCGAGCTGCGGCAATTAGGTCGACGTCTTGACGCAATCATAATCCATGGGCGACAATCATCGTAGCGCATGCTCGAGCTGCGAAAAGTTTCCGAGTCTTCAAGGAGTCGACATTCACGAAGCCAGCGTAACGCTATTTAATTATTATTCCTGAATAGCCTGGCCAAACTCGGTTTATTCTTAGCGTTTATCTCAGCATACCCGCTCTACTGCAAATAGCATTCTTTTCGTCGCGGTTTCCGCGAGCTGTTTTTCCTGACAACGCCTGGCGACGCGCGGCGAAGCATGGCTACTAACGGCGTCGCTGCTGGTGAGTTTAATGGCGGAGTCCAATTTCTCAAGTCCGAGTTGTGGCGGTCACAGGCCGTCCCGGAGGTCGGTCGAGCCACCCTGGTCGTCAACTCACTCTGGTGGCGCTGCTAAAATAATCGTCGTTGCACGCGGCGCGCGTTTTTTCCGCCTCAGATGTCTCCCGTGAGTGTTGCGCGCGCTCGATGTTTTCGCGAGGCCGTCTGAATTTCGCGTGTGCAGGTGGGAACGCGAGCATCGTCGCCAATTTCGCGAGCTGGTTCAGCTTGAATTTGAAGTCGCGACGACGGCTCGCGGAAAATTGCCCTCGTCCGCACAAATGTCGCCACGCGGTGCACCACCAACCATCACTCGCGGAGGTCGCTCCCTGAGCTTGCCTCAGCAGCAACTCATATCGCTATCGTCGCCTAACTCTTTCCCCTCCTCTCCCCGTCTTCCTCCTCTTCTCCTTCCCCCCAGCTAGCCTCTCCGTTGGCCACGACTGTCAGGCGGAAGCTGACGTGTCAGTGACAATAGCGGAGGGTGACACAGCAGGGGGCGTTAAGTCAGCAGACAAGGGAGCAGAAAGGACAGCGGACAGCGCAGCAGCACAGGATGGCGAGACGCAACAGAAGGAGGGAATGCTGCAGGGATTCGCGGAAAAAGACTCTAGCCGGTCGTCCTGGCGTGGATGTGCTGACATGGCGGGTGGGCGTGGGGGCGTGGGGCGAATGGCGCGGGGGGAACGGCAGCGCGTGGTGGAGGCGGCGCTGGAGACGACTGAGCAGGACAACGAGGCTGTGATGGGGAAGATCCGCGCCCGGCTGGAGAGGTGCGTGAGTGGGATGGGGCAAGGTGAACGGAGAATGTATGGAGTTCTGTGCACGTGACAGGGGTGATGGAGGCGGCGCTGGAGACGACTAAGCAGGACAACAACGCGGTGACGGGGAAGATGTGTGCCCGCCTGGAGAGGTGCGTGGGGAGGAACAGGGGTGTGGGGTTTAGTAGGGTTCGCATGACAGTGAGGCACAGGTGATGGGAAAGACTCGCGCCCAGCTGGAGAGAGGTGCGTGGGGTTTAAAGAGGTTGAGGGGAGGCAGATGCGTGGACAGAGGAAAAGGGAAGAAGAGGGGCGTGGGATTCGGGGGGAGGAGGAGGCAGAGGCGCTGAAGACGAGTGAGCACGACACCCGAAGCAGTGATGGGAAAGATTCTCGCTCGCCTGGAGAGGTGCGTGGGGAGGGGCAACGGGGGTGGACTGTGGGGTACGGGAGGAACAGGTGTGTGGGATCCGGAAAAGTGTGCATGAGAGGAAGGCACAAGCGGTGGAGACGACTGCTCGGGCAGGACAATGTAAAATTCGCGGAAGATACGTAGCCGGCTGGACAGGTGCGTGGGGAGGGGCCAGGGGGAAGGTCAAGGTGCGTGGGAAGGAGTAAGGAAAGGAACCTGTCCGTGCGCAGGTGCAAGGGGAACGGGCAAGGCAAGGCAAGGTTCATGAAACGGAGCAAGGGGAACGGGCAAGGCAAGGCAAGGTGCATGAAACGGAGCAAGGGGCGTGCAAAGGGTCAATTCGTACGTACAGTGTGTGGGGTTTCAGAGGGTGCATGGAGAGGGCTTTTGAGGATTCACAAAAGCCACCTGCACGGGCAGTTGGTTGGTGCATCCATGATGCATCCATGCTTTCGTTTCGTCGTGGCACTTGTGTAAGAAGCCCTCCTTTCTGCTGGTTGCACGCACAACACATGCATGCCTGCACGTACACATGCATGCATGCCTGCACATACCCATGCATGCCTGCATATACACATGCATGGCTGCATATGCACACATACCGAACCTGTATGCACGCGTACATATGCATGGCTGCACATGCACATGGCAGGGTGGGTCTGGAGCCGCCAACTGTGGAGATTCGATTTGAGGACGTGAGCGCGGAAGCAAGGGTGTATGTGGGGAAGAGAGGCCTTCCAACCCTCCCTAACTTCACACTCAATATGATCACAGTAAGTCACTCAGTATGATCACAGTAAGTCACTCAATATGATCACAGTAAGCCACTCAATATGATCTCAGTAAGTCACTCAATATGATCACAGTAAACCACTCAATATGATCACAGTAAGCCACTCAATATGGTCACAGTAAGTCACTCAATATGATCACAGTAAGTCACTCAATATGATCACCGTAAGTCAGTCATTATGATCACAGTAAGCCACTCATTATGATCACAGTAAGCCACTCATTATGATCACAGTAAGTCAGGTATATCTCTTCCTGCACCTTTTGATTCAAATTCACTCAATCTTCCACCACAACCTTGTCCCATTCCATTTCTTTGTCTCGATCCATCCCTCTCAATCTCGCTGCTGCACCCCTCTGCTCTTCTCTTTCCCCTTCTCTCGTTTTCCTTTCCCCCCCTCTTTCCCTCCCCTCCTCCCCTCCCAGTCAATACTTCGCGGCATGCGTCTGTTGCCAGACAAGAGGCGTGTCCCCATCCTCCACCTAACGTATTTTCTGCCCTTTTCCCCATCTCTCCTCTTCCACCCTCACCTTGGCCGCGCTGCTCCCCATCTCCCCCTCCCCTCCCAGTCAATGCTACGCAGCATGCGTCTGCTGCCAGACAAGAGGCGCCGCTTCCCCATCCTCCACGGCTGCAGCGGCGTGCTCAAGCCGGGCAGGTGAGAGTTTAATCCGGGCAGGTGGGGGTTAAGCCAGGCAGGTAGGGATTTAAGGTGGGAAGGTAGGGGTTTGAGCCGGGCAGGTGAGGGTTTAAGCCGAGCAGGTGGGGGTTTGTGGGGGTAGGGGGTGGTTAAGCTGGGCAGGTGTGAGGGTGTAAGCCAGACAGATGAGGCGGGAAGGTGGGGTTTAAGCCAAACAGGGTAAGGCAGGTGAGGATATAATCCAGGCACGTGGTGGTTCTTATCTAAGCCAGGCAGTAGGAGAGGTGCATTTGAAATCCTTTTGTTTTCAGCTTTTTTGTCCTAAGGGACCCCTCCAAATCCCCCCCTTCATCCCCACTCCACACTTCCCCTCCACCCCGTCCGCTGCACACATGCATACTTGTGCTCATTTTGCTCCTCTCACTCCCCCAACTTTCTGTGTAAAATAGTTTTTGAGAGTTCTCAAAAAGCTTTCCCCTGCTCCCGGCTCCACTCCTCCCCCCCCTCCTACCCCCTGCCTCCCCCAACCGCTCCTATCCCCCCCACCCCTCCCCTCCCTCCCCCTCCCTTTTCAGAGAATGACGCTTTTCGTGGGCTCCCCTGGCGCTGCTGGGAACACCACCTGTTTTTCCAGAGATTTCAAATAGCTTTTTCACTTCCCTATTCCTGGTTCCTGGCTGCCCCCCGCCCCTCTCCCTCCCCCTCCCCCACGCTCTCCCCCCCTTTCCGTTTCACAGAATGACGCTTCTCCTGGGCTCTCCTGGCGCTGGGAAGACCACCCTCATGACCGCCCTGGCAGGCCACCTGGACAGACACCTGAAGGTATGGTGAGCACCTGGACACCTGAAGGTATGGTGAGCACCTGGACAGACACCTGAAGGTACGGGGGCCACCTGGACAGACACCTGAAGGTATGGCGGTTACCTGGACAGGAACCTGACTGACTGAATGTGTGCCTGCTTGCTAACACCCCACCCGTTTGGTCTTCACTTGACTGCGAGGCCTGGCCTTGGCATGATAGACACAGTGTTTGAAAGAAATCCAAACCCGTCTGCCCTCCAATGACCTCGTTTAATCATGCTATTGCAAGGCACTGCCACGTGCGTGCTGCTCTGCTCATTGCGCTCCCTCTTGTATTTTCCCTCTTGCCCCCTGCTTTCCCTCTCTGCAGCTCACTGGCTCCATCACGTACAACGGGCAGCAGCTGAAAGATTTCAACCCTGCCCGAACGGCATCCTATGTGCCGGAGTGTGACGAGCACATAGGCGAAATGACCGTGAGGGAGACAATGGACTTTTCCGCGCAGCTGCAAGGGAGGGGGCCGTTCCGAGGTGAGATAACATGAGAGCTGTGCCCCTTTTTTGAGTCGTCTGAGAAGTCAAGTCACTACGGTGTTGGGGATGCCTCCATTAGATGGGACTTCATGTTCTGGGAGGGTCGGCTGGTGGGTTTCGGAAAGAGCAGGATGAGGGTATTCAGAGGATAAGTGCAATGTGGGGATGGTGGCAATCAGGGTGATTGTAAGGGGACGGTGTGGTTGATGTGTTATGAAGCACACATGCCTGAATGATTACTGCGATATTGGGTGTAACTTAGCCATATATGCTTTTGTTTTTTTGGAGTGAGTAAGCGTAATTCAGCCGAGCCAAATTTCTCAATGTGTAGGTTTGTGCAATGACTCTTATCGTCTCCCGGCTCCGATTTAATAATGTAATTGCATACGTGTGTGTGTGTGTGTGTGTGTGTGTGTGTGTGTGTGCACGCGTGCGCGCATGCGGCGCGTGCGCATGTGTGTGTGAGTGCAGTGCTGGTGGAGGAGTTGGAGAGGAGGGAGAAGGAGATGGGAGTGGAGCCGGATGCAACAACAGCACTGCTCATGAAGGTTGGTCAACGCTGGTCAATGTGGGTCAACGCTGGTCTGGTGTTGAGATAACACTAGTCAAAGTGAGTCGAATCTGGTGAAGCTGAGTCTCCTTGAGTCCATGCTGGTCCTTCGTCTATGGATTGCCTTTTTTTTTCCCCCTCCCGTCTCCCCTCTTTCCTCCCTCATCTCTTTCCTCTCCTCTCCCCTCTCCCCTGTCTCTCCTCTCTCCTCTTTCCCCCACTCCGCGCATCCCATCACCGCCAGGCCATGGCAGTGGAGGCCAATCCGTCCAACATGGTTACCAACTACATCCTCCAGGTGGGGTGTGACGCCACAAGGTGTGACTCTAGCAGGTGTGATTACGGATGCCTTTCTTGTGAAAACGCATGTTCTGTTACCTACCTGTAACTATATCCTCCAAACTGTGCCTGTATTTTTGCCTATTCATGTTACATTGTTGCCCTGAGCAACACATGCTTGTAAAAACAACGCCACATTTCCAAACGCTTTGTTTCATGCAGTTTTCACCTGTGCATTCCTCTCACGCAACTCCGTTCTTCCCCTCTCCCCATGCCCCCTTGTCCCCATGCCCCCTTGTCCCCATGCCCCTCTGTCCCCATGCCCCTCTGTCCCCATGCCCCTCTGTCCCCATGCCCCTCTGTCCCCATGCCCCTCTGTCCCCATGCCCCCCTGTTCCCATCCCCCCCTGTTCCCATCCCCCCCTGTTCCCTTCCCCCCCTGTTTCCATGCCCCCTGTTCCCATGTTCCCCTGTTCCCATGCCCCCCTGTCCCCACGCCCCCCTGTCCCCATGCCCCCCGGAAAACCTACTTCTCTGCCGGGAAGCTGCTGGGGCTGGGCATCTGTGCAGACACGGTGGTGGGCAACGCTCCCGTGCACACCTTTTAAGGCGCCTCCTGTGCCGCTCTGTTCCCGCATCCCTCTGTTCCCGCATCCCTCTGTTCCCGTATCCCTCTGTTCCCGTATCCCTCTGTTCCCGTATCCCTCTGTTCCCGTATCCCTCTGTTCCCGTATCCCTCTGTTCCCGCATCCCTCTGTTCCCGCATCCCTCTGTTCCCGTATCCCTCTGTTCCCGTATCCCTCTGTTCCCGTATCCCTCTGTTCCCGTATCCCTCTGTTCCCGTATCCCTCTGTTCCCGCATCCCTCTGTTCCCGCATCCCTCTGTTCCCGCATCCCTCTGTTCCCGCATCCCTCTGTTCCCGCATCCCTCTGTTCCCGCATCCCTCTGTTCCCGTATCCCTCTGTTCCCGTATCCCTCTGTTCCCGTATCCCTCTGTTCCCGTATCCCTCTGTTCCCGTATCCCTCTGTTCCCGTATCCCTCTGTTCCCGTATCCCTCTGTTTCCGCATCCCTCAAATCCCGTGTCCCCTGCTAAACCAAAATTTCTCGGCAGCTGCGGGGGCTGGGCATCTGTGCGGACACGGTGGTGGGCAATGCTCTCGTGACGAGTTTTGAGGTGCCTCAAGGCTCCTCTCTGGGATCTCACACCCCCATTATCCCCCCCCCCCGCCACCCCTGCAAAACTGACATGCGTGGCTGGCAGCTGTTGGGGCTGGGCATCTGTGCGGACACTGTGGTGGGCAACGCCCTCGTGCGCGGCATCTCAGGCGGCCAGAAGAAACGACTCACCACAGGTGGGTGGGTGCCTGTGGGGGACATAAGGCAAGCTGGTGGGCATGCGGCAGGTGTGCCGCCGTCGAATGATATCAGCTGTCGAACTTCTTTTCCTTACCAATGATTCTCGTCTTTCCCACTCAAGCCCCTCACCCGTCTTGCACCCTTCTCTTCCTCACTGCTTAGCCTGTCTGGAGAGGAGCTAGTGGTGGGCATGTGGCAAGTGCTCCATATCGACGAGATCAGCACGGCACGGACGGGCCTCGATTACTCCACCACCTTCCTCATCTCCCTCTCACTCATCCCTTTTTCTCGTAAAACCTAAACCCTGAACTTAAACCTTGTCAGGAGAGGGTCTAGTGGAGTGGCATGCGGCAGGTGCTGCTGATGGACGAGATCAGCACCGGGCTAATCTCGTCCGAAACTCCTCCACCACCTTCCTCATCACCCTCCCACTCATCCCTCAATCTCCCTCCCTAAACCTCAACCCCGAAACTCCAAACCCTAAACCTTGTCAGGCGAGGAACTAGTGGGAATGCGGCAGGTGCTGCTGATGGACGAGATCAGCACGGGTCTCGACTCCTCCACCACCTTCCTCATCGCGCGCTGCCTGCGCCATCTCACCCATTCACTCCGCACCACCACGCTCATCGCGCTGCTACAGCCCGCCCCCGAGACCTTTGCGCTCTTTGACGACGTGCTGCTGCTGGCGGAGGGGCACGTGGTGTATCACGGGCCCCGGGAGGGCGTCATGGGGCTGTTTCGGTCGCTGGGGTTTGATTGCCCTCCTAGGAAAGGAATCGCAGATTTCCTGCTGGAGGTGAGAGAGGGGTACTGGGGTGGTGGGAGGGGGGGTTGACGTGGATTGGTTTGCTGCTGCTGGCGGAGGGCCGCCACGTGGTGTGTCGTATCATGGGCCGAGGCAGGGCGTCATGGGGCTGTTCCGGTTGCTGGGGTTTGATTGCTCTCGGAGGAAGGGAGTGGCAGACTTTCTGCTGGCTGTAAGACAGGGGTACTGGTGAGGGGGGATTGAAGTGGCTGCTAGTGCTGCTGCTGGCCGAGGGGCATGTGGTGAGGGGCATGTGGTGTATCATGGGCCCAGGGAGGGCGTCATGGGGTTGTTTCAATCGCTGGGGTTTGATTCCCCTCCCAGAAAAGAGGGGTACTGGGGTCGGTGGGGGAGGAGGGGGAGGGTGGACGAGGCTTGATGTGCTGCTTCCCAGCGAGGGGCACGTGGTGTATCATGAGCCCGGGGAGGGCGTTATGGGGTTGTTCTAGTTGATGGGGTTCGACTGGGGTTCGACTGGGGCTGTTCTAGTTACTGGGGTTCAACTACCCTCTAAGAAAAAGAGTGGCAGATTCTCAGCTGGAGATGAGTGGGGTTGGGTTAGGGGAGTCTGGACGGGATGGTGTGGTTGAGAATTGTGTTTTTGTGGATAGCACGAGTGGCGAGGAGAGGAGGCCGTAGCAGTACCCAGTGGAGGGGTCGAAGTTGCACGCATTGTCTTCCTACTCACTGTCCTCTTCGCTCCCCTCTTCCCTCTCCCCTCTTCCCCGTCTCTTCTCCTCTCTTGCTCCTTGTTCTCTCTGTTCTCTCAGGTGACTTCAGCAAAGGACCAGGCACAGTATTGGGTGGATAAGTCACAGCCCCACGAGTTCATGGCAGCAGGGGACATGGCTGCTGCTTTCCGCCACTCCGCACTCGGCAAGCAGAGACAGGCAGAGCTGGCGGTGAGTGTTAGAAACGCCAGATTCTGTGTATTTCCAACAGTCAGTGCAGCAGAGACAGGCAGAGCTGGTGTTAGGGTGTGCGGTATCGACCATTCAAACATCACCATTTATTGGTGCCCCGTGTCTTCTTCCCGTTCCAGACTTCTAGCTTCCTTTCCATTATTCACACTAATCCTTCCCGCTTCCTTCTTCCACTGTTCTTCCATTCTTCTCCCTTTCTTACCTCTTCTTCCTTATTCTCTCCAGACCCCATTCCAGCCAGCAGAGTCGTCCACGTCAGCACTGGAAACGGCCCCCTACGCTCTCTCGCCCACTCAGATGCTGACAGCTGTCTTTGCCCGGGAGTGGCTACTGATGCGGCGCAACGCGCTGCTCTACATGGCTCTCATCATGCAGGTGCGTGTGGCACGATGTATGGATGCCGTGTGGATGTATGGATGCCATGTGGATGTATGACACATGTAGCATGCACGCAGCTGTCACATCACATACATGGGTTGCGTCATGCACGTGTGTACGGGGATGGATCACTTCCTTCACCACCACCCAGTCCTACTCTCCCTCCTCACTCATCAACTGCCTTTCTACTCTGACAGCTGCACCCCTTTCCATCCTTCCACCCCTCTCCATCCCTTTCCACCCCTCTCCAACCCTCTCCACCCCTCTCCACCCTTCTCCACCGCTCTCCATCAGGTGATATTCACGAGCCTCATGTCGTCCACAGTCTTCCTGTACACGCAGCGGTCCATCACAGCCAAGGACGGCAACATCTACCTGGGAGTGCTCTTCCTGGGCATCACCATGATGCTCTTCAACGCCTTCTTCGAGCTCCTCCTCTTCACGCTCCGCCTCCCCATCTTCTTCAAGCAGAGGAACACGCGCCTCTACCCCGCGTGGGCCTGGGTGCTGCCCATGGCTGTGCTCTCGCTGCCGCTGTCGGCCGTGGTGGCGGCGCTGTGGACTGCTGGCACGTACTTTCTTGTTGGGTTTGCTCCGGAAGCTGGCAGGTGCGGATGGGTGGATGGGTGGATGGGCGGATGGGTGGATGGGCGGATGGGCGGATGGGTGGATGGGTGGATGGGTGGATGGGCGGATGGGTGGATGGGTGGATGGGCGGATGGGTGGATGGGTGGATGGGCGGATGAGCGGATGGGCGGATGGGTGGTTGGGCGGATGGGTGGATGGGTGGATGGGCGGATGGGTGGATGGGCGGATGGGTGGATGGGCGGATGAGCGGATGGGCGGAGGGCGGATGGGCGGATGGGCGGATGGGTGGATGGGCGGATGGGCGGATGGGTGGATGGGTGGATGGGCGGATGGGCGGATGGGCGAATGGGTGGATGGGCGGATGGGCGGATGGGCGGATGGGTGGATGAGCGGATGAGCGGATGGGCGGATGGGCGGATGGGCGGATGGCGGATGGGCGGATGGGCGGATGGGCGGATGGGCGGATGGGCGGATGGGCGGATGGGCGGATGGGCGGATGGGCGGATGGGTGGATGGGTGGATGGGCGGATGGGCGGATGGGTGGATGGGCGGATGGGTGGATGGGCGGATGGGTGGATGGGTGTATGAGTGGATGGGGGTTGGAGGCGGGAGTCACAACAAGAGAGTCGAAGGAGTATCCTTAATGTCTTAATCCATCTCCTTAACTTCTTTCTGTTTCCATCCCAATCCAACGTCATCCCTTGTTCCTCCCCTCCCCCTCCCTCCTTCCCTTTCCTCAACCCCCACCCCACTCCCCCTCCCTCCTTCCACCCCACTCCTCTCCCTTCCCCACTCTTCCTCCTGTCCCTATTCCATAGTGCCACCGCCCTCCCTGTATCATCCCCCACCCCGCAGGTTCTTCATCCAGTTCCTCAAATTCTTCCGCATCCACCAGGCCCAGATGGTTCTCTTTCACCAGGCCCAGATGGTTCTCTTTCACCAGGCCCAGATGGTTCTCTTTCACCAGGCCCAGATGGTTCTCTTTCACCAGGCCCAGATGGTTCTCTTTCACCAGGCCCAGATGGTTCTCTTTCACCAGGCCCAGATGGTTCTCTTTCACCCGCTCTTTGAATCGACTTGAAAGCCACTCTTCCTTCCAATCCCCCTTCCCCACCGAAACCCCTCCCCACCACCTCAGGTTCGTCATCAGCTCCTCACATTCTTCCTCATCCTCACATTCTTCCTCATCCTCACATTCTTCCTCATCCTCACATTCTTCCTCATCCTCACATTCTTCCTCATCCTCACATTCTTCCTCATCCTCACATTCTTCCTCATCCTCACATTCTTCCTCATCCTCACATTCTTCCTCATCCACCAGCCCGGATTCGCTCTCTTCAGCCTCTTGGAGCCGACTAAAAAGCCATACCTCCTTCCGCCCCCCCTGGCCCCTCTCCCCCCACCCCCAGGTTCTTCATCCAGCGCCTCATATTCTTCCTCATTCACCAGACCGGAGTGGCTCTCTTCTGCCTGCTCTCTTAGCTGTCTTGACCATTGTTCTTCCTTCCGTTCCGCCCCCTCTATCCCCCCTCCCAACCCCCCAGGTTCTTCATCCAGCTGCTCATATTCTTCCTCATCCACCAGACCGGGGTGGCTCTCTTCCGCCTGCTGGGGGCGGTCGGGCGCAACCTCGTGGTCTCCATCACCCTCGGCAACTTTGCCTTCATCATCCTCTTCCTCCTCGGCGGCTTCATCGTCGCCAAAGGTGCCCCATGTCGTGTTGCTTCTTGCTGCTTCTACCGCCACTTGCTAAAGCTTCATCTCATCTCTTGAATCGTCTCCTCGTGTCTCTTGGATTAATCACCATTCAGTCACTCATGCCATGCCCTTTTGTTTGGGAATCACTTTTGAGAGTTCTCAAAGTTGATTCTCAAAAGTGAATCGCTCTTGAGAAAGTATTCCCAAAGTAGTCTCTTCCGACCCATCGCTTGGACGAGTTACCCATCAGTCAATTGCACTCATCTGGGCCCACTGGATATAGACATCACCTACATGCAAGCATCAATTGACTCACCCCCTCCCGTCCATCACTCCTGCCGTGCCCCATTGTCTACCCTCTTCTACCCCCCTCCCCCCCACCCACCCACGGCCCCCTCTCCCCTCAACAGACGACATCCAGCCGTGGTTCATCTGGGCCTACTGGATGTCGCCCATCACCTACACGCAGAACGCCCTCTCAGTCAACGAGCTCCTCGCCCCCAGGTGGCAAAAGGTGCGTGCCGTGGAAGTCACTAGTGCTGAGCAGCGTGCCAGGTGGCAGAAGGTGAGGGGCGAGCCGGGTGGCAGAAGGAGAGGGGCGTGCCAGGTGGCAGAAGGTGAGTGGCGTGCCAGGCGGAGGCGAAGTGAGGGGGCTTCCAACGGGGTGTTGATCGGTGTGGTGGCTCAAAGCGGCTGCTCTCTTTCCCCTCTCCCTTCCTCTCCCGCCTTCCCCTGTCCCTTTCCCCTTCCCCCTTCCCCTCTCCCTCTCCCCACAGTCCACAGCACCGCTAATCCCCAACTCCACAGTGGGGCTGGTGGTGTTGGAGGGGAGGGGCCTCCCCACGGAGAGCAAGTGGGTGTGGATCGGCGTGCTGGCGCTCATCGGCTTCACTCTCCTCCTCAACGCCCTCGTTGTCGTTGCCCTCTCCGTCCTCCACCGTCAGTGCTGCTGCATGCATGCCCTATTGCTGCTCTCGCTTGTCGCCCCAATGCGCGCTCCATACTCCAATCTCAGTGCTTCTATTGTCGCCCCATGCGTCTCCACTCTCCACCGCTTTGTTTCTTAAAACCCTCGCTGGGTTCTCCTCCTTCAAAACCTGCTCCACCTTGTCAAAGTTTGATACTGACTCTTTTGAAAACCTTCCCCCTTTTCCTCTCCATTCCCTCTCTTCACTTAGAACTCCCTGTTCCCCTCCCCACATCCCATGTTCCCTGCTCTTCCTTCCTTCTCCACCCCGCCCACCAACTACTGCATAACACCTACCCATCTCATCAACCCCATACATACCATGCCACGTCATCATCCCACTTCAGCATGGGCCAAGGACCAGCCAGTAACAGAAGAACAGCTGGACGCGAGAATAGAGGCAGCAGTGGGCCTCACAGCCGCCACAGCCACCAGCAGACGCCTCTCGAAGCACTACAGCACTGGCAGCCGGCGCAATTCAGAGAGTCATGGCAGGGGGGGAGGCATGGATGGGGATGCGATGCCCATCAGCATCAGCATCACGCGCAGCCAGTCGGGGCAAAGCGCCCGCTCTGTTGGGTCGCGCAGCGGTGGAGCCCTCGAGCGGTACTGTGAGCGAGGTGAGAGGGAGTTGAGAGGGGTGCAGCGAGGTGAGAGAGGGGTGAGAGCGGCGCAGCGAGGTGAGAGAGGGGTGAGAGCAGTGCAGCGAGGTGAGAGAGAGTTGAGAGCGGCTGCAAGCGAGGTTAGAAAGATCGGTACTGTAAAGTACTGTGAGGTGCATTTCTCCGGTCTGTTGTCCCATACTTACAATGCAGAGGACCATCCAAGGTGCTGCGAGCAAGGTGAGAGTGGAGAGATGAAAGAGAGATGAGAGAGAGTTGAAAGCGATAATGCAAGTGACGTAGGAGCTGTGAGAGAGGTGAGAGCGGTGAGAGCGGTGGGAGAAAGTTGAGAGTGGTGAGAGGAAGGTGAGAGCGGTGAAAAGAGAGGTGAGAGTGATGAGAGAGAGGCCAGAGCGGAACTGTGGGCGAGGTGAGAGCGGGTTGAGAGAGAGGCAATATAAAGACGAGATAAACGTGAGGTATTGGTGAGAGAAGATTACAACAAAGGAGGGATGGTGCGAGGGTGGTAAGAAACTGGAAAGACTCTTGAGGCTCAGCAAAAGGTGCATCAAAATTCTTTCCTTTACCAGCTCAGTGTGTATGGGTCAATATGACACCAAGCGAGCACCTTCCAGTTCTCCCATTCCCTCACCACCGCTCCGCACCATTCCTCCTCATCACACCTGTGTAGCCCTCCACCCTCGCATCTCTCTGTTACTGGCTGGTTTTTGTTCACTTGAGGGTTCTTACTGTAAAAGAGGTAAGAGAGAAGCCAGTGAGAGGCTGTAGAAACGTGAGAGGGAGAGAAAAGCAGCTGCGACAGTGCGATGAGGAAGAAGGAACAAGGAAGCGAGCTGCTGGGTAGGAGGGACCTGGTCTGGATGGTTGAGAGGTGAACAGAATGAACAGAACGACAGGGATAACCTTTCTCCCTCTTTGCCCTCCATGTCTCTCCTCTCTCCATCTCCCCTCTTTGCCCTCCATGTCTCTCCTCTCTCCATCTCCCCTCTTTGCCCTCCATGTCTCTCCTCTCTCCATCTCCCCTCTTTGCCCTCCATGTCTCTCCTCTCTCCATCTCCCCTCTTTGCCCTCCATGTCTCTCCTCTCTCCATCTCCCCTCTTTGCCCTCCATGTCTCTCCTCTCTCCATCTCCCCTCTTTGCCCTCCATGTCTCTCCTCTCTCCATCTCCCCTCTTTGCCCTCCATGTCTCTCCTCTCTCCATCTCCCCTCTTTGCCCTCCATGTCTCTCCTCTCTCCATCTCCCCTCTTTTCCCTCCATGTCTCTCCTCTCTCCATCTCCCCTCTTTGCCCTCCATGTCTCTCCTCTCTCCATCTCCCCTCTTTGCCCTCCATGTCTCTCCTCTCTCCATCTTCCCCACCACGCCTGCACTGCAGTCTCATCGTCTCGCTCCATGGGACACACAATCGAGCCCTCCCTGTCCCGGGACCTCTCTGTACCGCCCACCACCACTCGCGGCATGGTGCTCCCCTTCCTCCCACTCCCCGTCGCCTTCCACAATGTGTGCTACTGGGTCGACATGCCGCCCGCCATGCGCTCCCATGCCGCCCACGCCGCCGGCAACTCCGCCGCCCGCCTGCAGCTGCTGAGAAACGTCTCGGGGGCGTTCCGGCCGAAAGTGCTCACCGCGCTGGTGGGGGTGACAGGCGCGGGGAAGACAACACTCATGGATGTGCTAGCAGGGAGGAAGACCGGGGGGTATATAGAGGGAGATGTGATGGTGGCTGGGCACCCCAAGGTGCATGAGACGTTCGCCCGCGTGTCGGGGTACTGTGAGCAGAGCGACATTCACTCGCCGCAGGTCACGGTGCATGAGAGCCTGCTGTTCTCCGCGTGGCTGCGCCTTCCCAGGGATATCGAGAGGGACGTGCGGGAGGTGCGTGGGGAGGGAGGTTCGTGGGGAGGGAAGTGCGTGGGGAGGGAGTAGGGGTGAGCAAAGGGCGAACTCGAACATGTTCGCGTTCGCCCTTGCACCAACATGGCCGTTCGGCGAACCGAACAGGGTGTTCGGCGTTTGCCTGTGAAGGCGTGTTCGGGCGAACCTCGAACACGTTCGTGTTCGACACGGGACGTTCTGCAGCAGCGCCACGAACACGAATGTGTTCGTGCGAACCTCGAACAGTGTTCGGCGAACAATTTAAGCAACGAGGCGAACCGAACAGGTGTTCGTTTCTTTGCTCACCCCTAGGAGGGAGTGTGGGTGTGGGAGATGGGTGGGAATGGCTGAAGAGACAGATGAGAGGGGGATGAGGGAAGGATGAGTTAAGGATGAAAATGTGGAGAGGTGAATGAGAGAGTGAGGAGAAGAATGAGAGTCGTTTAGCCAATCGTGCATTGCCCCCTCCCTCACCTCTTCACCCTCTCAACCCCTAAGCCCCTTATTTTTTTTCACGGCGTATGATTTCCATTGGCAGACTAGTGTCTCCTCGCCCTTACCTCCCTCTTGTCCCCCTATAATCCCCACATCGCACCACACCACACCACACCACACCACACCACACCTCACGGCACTGCACCAGGAGTTTGTGGAGGAGGTGATGGAGCTGGTAGAGCTGGACGTGCTGAGGGGCGCGCTGGTGGGGCTGCCGGGGGTGAATGGGCTCAGCACGGAGCAGAGGAAGCGCCTCACCATCGGCGTCGAGCTCGTGGCCAACCCCTCCATCATCTTCATGGATGAGCCCACCTCAGGTAAGGCCTTTTGCTGCGTGCACCTACATCAGGTACCCCCTGCTGCTGGATGCCTGGATGAAGTCTTTTCAGGGGAAGCTGGGAGCTCGTGGCCAACCCCTCCATCATCTTCATGGATGAACCCACCTCAGGTGATGCCTGGATGAACCCACCTCAGGTGATGCCTGGATGAACCCACCTCAGGTACCGCCTGGATGAACCCACCTCAGGTACCGCCTGGATGAACCCACCTCAGGTGATGCCTGGATGAACCCACCTCAGGTACCGCCTGGATGAACCCACCTCAGGTACCGCCTGGATGAACCCACCTCAGGTGATGCCTCCTGCTGGACGAACCGTGCTCCTCAGGTACCACCTGCTGCTGAATGCGTGGATGAAGCTTCCCCAGGTGCTGCTGGGAGCTTGTGGCCATCCCTCCATCATCTCCATGGATGGACCCGCCTCAAGCTAGGCTTGGATGAACTCTTCGTTGCCCATCCCTGTTCAGCAGCATTCATTATGTATGCAGAGCAGTGCGGAACGGTGTAGACGCGAGGGCAGCGGCCATGGGATGTTGCAGCGCCTTCAGGAGTCCTGTTCCTCCCTCCTTCCTCCCCCCCCTCACCACTTCCCGCACTCTTCCCCCTACTGCCCTCCTTCCGTCACTACTCCCGTCCTCTCCTTCCTACTGCCCTTCTCCCCATCTCACGTCTCTTTCTCTCTTTCCCTCCCCCCTTTCTTCAGGTATGGATGCGAGGGCAGCAGTCATAGTCATAGGCGGGCCAGCCTCAAAAGCTTCCATTACTCTCCAACCCCTCTCCACCCATTTGAACTCCTTTCCCCTTCTTTAAGTCTGGATGCAAGGGAAGCAGCCATAGCGATGCACACAATGTTGACGAACCGCACCTCTCACTCCTCCCCTCCCTTCCCACTCCTCCCCTCCCGTCCCACTCCTCCCCTCCCGTCCCACTCCTCCCCTCCCTTCCCACTCCTCCCCTCCCTTCCCACTCCTCCCCTCCTCACGCCTTTTCTCCTCTTGCCCGTCAGGTCTGGATGCGAGGGCAGCAGCCATTGTGATGCGAACGGTGCGCAACACGGTGGATACGGGGCGCACTGTAGTGTGCACCATCCACCAGCCGTCCACCGACATCTTTGAGGCCTTTGACGAGGTGCGCTGTAATGAGTATAAGAAACGAGGTCCCCTGAGTCAAAATGGGCTGTAGTGTGCACCTTTCACCAGCCATCCGCCGACATCTTTGAGGCCTTTGACGAGGTGCGCTATAACGAGTATGATGATGGAAGGCCCTTCACTTGAATGAGACTGTGGAGTGCACTATTCACCAGCTGTCCATGACATGTTTGAGACCTTTGATGAAATGCGCTCTTTATACTGAGTATGATCGGGTTGGGCTGTGCAGTCAGTTGGAAAGGTTTTCAGTGGGCATGCATGCATGCACGCACCACTCGCCACACACCATAGCAATGTGCTCCATCCTGGGAGGCATTTTTAGGATTCTTAGAAACTCTCTTTCCTCTGTGTCCATCTGGCCTGCATTCCAGGGTGGATGCTGGTGGCACGTGATATTTTCTCATCGCAGTTCACACACTGATATGCCTCTCTGATCCTGTACTGCAGCTGCTCTTAATGAAGACAGGAGGAGAGGTTATCTACATGGGGCCTTTGGGAGTCAACTCGAAGCATCTCATCAAATATCTTCAGGTATCGCCATTTCCCACCCCTCTGCCCCTTCTTCTCCCGTTGATTCCTTACTTTTCCCTTTCCTGTGCTCTTTGTGTCATTGGTTCTACTGTGGGTTAGGTCTTAGACATAACATGGACCCCAACTCACCAAAAATCTCCAACCCACCATTTGTATATTTCCCCCGATTCCCTTGTCATCCTTTGAACTCATCCTTGACATGCTTAAGAGATCCTTGAGCTTCCTGGAATCTGTTTCTTCAGTCATCCTTTTCTTCCCTCGCCCTCATCCTTTTCTTCCCTCGCCCTCCCTTCCCTGCCCATTACGTCTTACTCCCTGTCTTCCCCATGCGTCCTGCTTTAGGGTACCTGGAGCAAGCAAGGAAGTTTAGATCATCTCTACTTCCTTTCCCCCTCGCAACCCTCCATGCCAGGAGATACCCAGGCCCTCCCCAGGCCCTCTCTCCCCACCGCACCAAGCCATACCCGGCCGGCATACAGCCCATCCCTGATGGTTGCATTGCAACCCCCCCACATGGATTCTGGAGGTCGCTTCACCTCCCTTCTCCTCCTCTCCAACCCCCCTCCCACGACCCATCACCATGCCAAGCGACACACGGGCTGTGCCCTATCTCTGACGTTCACAGCCATTCTAACGCTCCTTTCCCTCCTACCCACAACCCGCCACCACGCCAGGCCCAGGCCCATCCCTGACGGCTACAACCCTGCCACATGGATGCTCGAGTCACTTCATTTCCCTTTTCCCCGATCCTCCTCCCCTCCCCGCTCCACCCTTCCCCCAACCCGCCACCACGCCAGGCCATTCCCGGCGTGCAGCCCATCCCTGACGGCTACAACCCCGCCACGTGGATGCTCGAGGTCACGGCGCCGGCTGCTGCTGAGAGCATTGGGGCTGACTTTGCAGAGATCTTCAGGAATTCGCAGCTGTTCAGGTGAATATTCAGGGATTTACAGCTGTTCAGGTGATTATTCAGGAGCATGCGACTGTCCAGGTGAGCATGCTTCAAAGTCACAGCAGTTTGGGTGACAGACTAGGCATTCACAGCTGTTGAGGCTTCCGTAATCACTTCTCATCTTCTCCCCCATACTCTTCTCCCCACCCCCACACCCTCCCCTCTCCACCCCCCCTGCAGGGACAACGAGGCGCTGGTATCGTCGTTCTCCACGCCCCCGCCCGGCTCGGCGCCGCTGCACTTCCTCTTTTCCCTACACCCCCCCCCCCCCTCCCCCCTCTCACTAAAAGCCATCTCCCCCCCCTCCTTTCCAGGGTCAACGAGGCACTGATTGCGTCGCTCTCCACGCCCCCGCCCGGCTCGGCGCCGGTGCACTTCCCCACGCGCTACTCCACCTCCCTCCTCACTCACTTCCTTGCCAGCCTCTGAACGCGTTCCCTCGTGTACTGGCGCGCTCCGTACTTCAGGTGGCCTTTGAGCCGACTCAAAAGCTCCTCATGTACTGGCGCGCGCCCGAATTCAACTCAGTGCAGCGCACTCGATCCATCCCCCCGCCTCATCCAGCCTCCGATCTCCTTCCTTTTTCTCCCGTCCCTCCCCCCACCAACCCACCTGCAGGGACAACGAGGCACTGATAGCCTCTCTTTCCACCCCGCCTCCCAACACAGAGCCTCTCCACTTCCCCACGCGCTACTCCACGTCCTTCCTCACGCAATTCCTCGCCAACTTCTGGAAGCGCGCCCTCATGTACTGGCGAGCCCCCGACTTCAACGCTGTCCGCTTCTTCCTCGCTGTCTGCATCTCGCTCCTCATGGGAGCCGTCATGTTCGGGTTCGGGCACTACCACGCCACACAGCAGGACGTGCTGAACGTCATGGGCGCGCTGTATGTGACGTCGCTGCTCATGGGGTGGAACGCTGCGACTTCGCTCCAGCCCATGCTGTGTACTGAGCGAACGGTGTTCTACCGGGAGCGGGCCGCCGGGCTGTACGGGTCGCTCCCGTACGCGCTAGCGCAGGGGGCGATCGAGACGCCGTATGTGGTGGTAGAGACGCTGCTGTTCTGCGTGATTACCTACGCGCTGCTCGAGCTCCAGTGGACGGCCGGCAAGTTTTGGATGTACTGCGCGTTCATTTGCCTGACGCTGCTGTGCTTTGCGAGCTTCGGCATGATGGCGGTGGCCATCACGCCCAATGAGCTGCTCGCTGTGGTGCTCAGCGGCTTCTTCGTGATGCTCTGGAACCTCATGTGCGGCTTCCTTATCCCCCAGCCGGTGCGTTGCCCGTTCCAGTTCGAGCAAGCAAGGGTACGTATGTAATGCTTTCGCCGTTTTTCATAGTTCCTAGCGCTTTGATTGTGATGCTCTGAAACCTCTTCATATGCGGCTTTCGCATTTCCAAGCCAGAGTTGGCTGGCCATTCAGCACATGCGGTATGTACTGCATTGTGAGCATTTGTAAGCATGGTGAGAATAGTATGTGGGGCTGTCTGAAGCACGGAACACGTGAGGTTGCAACACTCAAGTCTTGTGCCTTCACCTCTTGATGCATCCGACTTGTTGTGTCTCTCTATCCATCCGCGTGTGTTCTTGCTACATGCAATGCTATGCATGTACTCTTCCTTCTTGCCATGCGTGTGTGTGCGAGCATGTGTCTTATTATGTTGCTTCCAGGAAATTCCTGTGTGGTGGAGCTGGTTCTACTACATCAACCCCATCGCCTGGTCACTCTACGGCCTCATCACCTCCCAGGTCCGTGTCATCTCCTCTCAGGTCCGTTTCATCTCCTCTCAGGTCCGTGTCATCACCTTTCAGGTCCGTTTCATCTCCTCTCAGGTCCGTGTCATCTTCTCTCAGGTCCGTTTCATCTCCTCTCAGGTCCGTGTCATCTCCTCTCAGGTCCGTTTCATTTTGTCTCAGGCCATTCACGACCCACTCACAGTGCCAGGCTACCCAATGAAGATCACAGTGCAGCAGTTTCCGGACTGGCACCTGGGTGACCAGCAGGATTTACTCTTAGAGCTCTTTTGCACCATTTGCCCCCAATGCTCTCTCCCCACACTCTGTTCTCCAGCTGGGGGACATTCAGGACCCACTCGCAGTGCCAGGCTACCCAGTGAAGATCACGGTGCAGCAGTTTCTGGGCCTGTATCTGGTTTACCAGCAGGATTCACCTCTGATACTCCCAATTCACCCCTTCCCCCACCTTTTTCCCCCTTGGCTCATCTTCCTGTGACCCTTTCTCCAGCTGGGGGACATTCAGGACCCACTCACAGTGCCAGGCTATCCAGTCCAGATCACGGTGCAGCAGTTTCTGGACCTGTATCTGGGTTACCAGGAGCAGTGGATTGGTTACGCCAGCCTCATTCTCGTGGCCTTCTCCGCACTCTTCTTTGTCGTCTTTGCCGTCGCACTCAAAGTCATCAACTTCCAAAAACGCTAGCAGGCAGCTCTCTACCTACTGTTCCTTTGAAGCGATGTTCCATAATCGCACGACACCTAGTCTGTGTGCAGTGGATACTGAGGACTTGAAGGTCAAGTAGGGTAGGGTAGGGTAGGGTAGGGTAGGGTTCCCATCATATGAGGAAAAATACTCGTATCACCTTTATTACTGTAAATTCATGTTGGTCGGTCCACAGGTACATTTTTTCCCTCCAATGCATGTATTTATTATATAATATTTCCAGGATGGTTTGATAATGCATTTGCAAGAATGGCTCTGTTCTTTGAGGAAGATGCCATTTATCAAGCCAGCGCCTGGTGGTTTTCTACCATGGTATTGGCGATTCACACATATGGCCATCTATGTATCCGTCTGAACCACTAGGGCACAGCATTACAGCATGCGATTCGTTGCACATTAGCAAGTATTACACCAGGTGTTTTTCCTGCCCAGTCACAAGCTGTAGGCAACTTCTTTGTGCAATGGGGGAAGGAGGAGAGAGGGGACGGGAGGAGATGGAGTGGTGGGGGGGTTGAGAGTTAGAAGGATGAGAGGAAAGAGGGAGGGGGTGGGAGAGGGGTTGAGTGTCGTGGGTGGAGGAGAGGGCGGGTAGGGTTCTTGCATTCTCACACCTTGATTTCACTTCGACCTCCGTCCCCTGTTCATCCCAAATGTAATCACCAAAAATCTCTAACCCGCCATTGGAGATTGCCTGACACTTCTCTCATCCTTCTCAACTCGTCTTAAACGTTCTTAAAGAGCCGTGAGCTCCGTTACCTAATCAAAAGCCAACAGCCTTCCCTTCCATCCCTCGCCCTCCCTCTCTCCCTCCCTCTCTTCCCGCCCCGTCTCCCGTGCTTGGAAGTATCTGAAGCACCTCCCTTCCACTTTCTCGCCCCTCGTTCCAATTTCCCAAATCTTTATCAATTTCCATAAGAAGCAGTACCTCCCTCCCTGTCCCTCTCGCCTCTCACATCCCAACTCTCTCTTATGCTTTTGCACCTCACAGCCAGAACCCCCTCTTTTTTCTTGCACCCCACAGCCTAAATCACCCGCCATTCTCGACCCCCCTCCGTCCTAGCTCCCCCTGCCTCTCTCATCTATTCCAACTCCACAAACCCCACTCCTTCCCACCCTCTCCCTCCCCTCCCTCTCCCCCTCCCCACCCACCCTGCTTCCCTGTCATCTCCCGCAGCCACTTTCCTTTTTCTCTCTTGTCTCGTGCATTCCAAATCCCCTCCTTTCACTAGCGTCTTGCCCTGTCCTTCTCACCTCTTGCAACCCCATTTCCCCTAAACCTTTTATCTCGCCTCTTGCAACCCCGTCCCCCCTTCCATTTTTCTCTCGCCTCTTGCAACCCAACAGTGCCCCGTACTTCTCTCACTTCTTGCAGCCAATCCCTACCTCCTCTCACCCCCTTCACAACATGCAGCTTGCTCAACTCTAACAGCAAGTCGGTTACAACATTTAGTCTGCCATCAGTTTTTGTGCTGTCTATTGAACGCTCGGCTCAACCATTGGCTGAGAATATTGCGAACGGATGTGGTCCTGTGATCACACATTGATTCCATCCAATATTCTTTTGGGTTATGGCTCCGGAGAAGGTATTGGACAGATTCAAGGCACCAAAATCTGGCCCATATTTTATCCCGGAGGACACCTCATAGATGTCACAAAAATCATACCCGAAACAGTCCTTTTTCATACTTCTGAGGACAGATTTGGCTCAGATAAACTGGAAGTGACTTTTATATGCTAGTTTGAGAGCCGTAATTTCTATTTCAAGTGCGTTTGAACATCAGGCCTGATGGGAGCCCAGAAGCATCCTTGAAATATGATGTTTATTTGGCTCTCCATGAGTGTGCTTGCTGATTGTAAGATACACACCCTGTGTGGAGCACAGCTTCGCACAGATGTGAGTTCCATTTTCCTATTCTGAGGCACGTGTTTAATCTCAGAACTCAGCATCTTAGCTATGTCTCACGCTGGCACATCACAACAGGCTATGGCTTGAAGAACACGGGGAATATATGCGATTGCGGTTACTGAACTCACTAGCACAGGTTGGAAGTTCTGGATTCCATTTTATTCTACTAACATTTTCACCTAAATGTATTCAGCGTAAATAAAGTCTCAACTCTAGGTCTACTGAGGATGCACATTTGGACGTGCTAGTCTCGCCTTGCACAGGTGATTGCTTAACTGGGTCAACCCCCAGCACACGATGAATGGTGCTAAGGTCCTCCGTCGATCCTCTCTGAAATCTCCTCAGATGCTCCGTAAGGCCAAGACAAATGGCCTTCCTGGTCCCGTTACCTGATTGGTCATAGCATGATTAGCCTGGACAAAGGACTGCCATTGGCCCAGCGTTGACTCAATCAGGCTGCCTCCACCAGGAGCAGAGGAAGCAAGAGGACCATTGCGGCCAAGAGTCGTTGCAGGTGCAGCACACAAACGAGGAACAGTGCGAGGAATTGATGTAGCAGGGGTGGCAGCCCGGCCATTATTGGTGAACCCCGCACCTCCACTAACAGGAAGAGATCCACATTGCATGGTAACAGCCGATGACTGACTGGAAGAGCGGCGCAATCTCGATGCCTCTGATTCTTCCACAGAAATGGAGGCTTGCTGCAGGTTTGATGCTGCTGCAAGTGATGATCGGGACACCATTCCAGTGAGCGGCGATGACATCATATTGCTGCTGCCGGGAGCGGAGACCACAGGCTGAGGTAGGCTCGCTAAATCCAAGATTCTAGAGCTTGAGCCAATCGTTGTGCATTGCAAGGCGCTTTCGCCAAAAGACGCTCCCACCACTGGCGCATGGATGGTCACCGCAGAATAAAGACCAGGCGCCTCATTGGTAAGAGCTCCACAATCTCCTGCAGTGAAAGATCCGTTGCTCCTCTCGCTGATTGGTGCACGCGTGGACTGCACTGGAGCTTTCGGGCACCGGACAGCTGCACTTCTGATTGGGAGGGCTGCAGCAGTCTTGTCAGTCACCAGAGCGGATGCAGCGCCAATGGATGCTACCACAGGTGCCTGGGGGGGGTTGTGAGCAGCGCTGCAGTTCACTGGTGGAGGTGCTGCCGCCGCTACTACCAGTTCCTCACATACGGAGGCCAATGACTCGGACCATGTTCGCTTCTAGCCGGCCAGAGAAGCAGCAGTTCCAGGCATAGGAGTGATATGGGCGGCACCAGCCCTGGCACCGGCATCGGAGGTAGCATTGACAACGGAAGAGGTAGGAGTGGAAGTGCATCGTGCAGCAGCAGCAGCAGCAGCAGCCATGCCGCGGCGATGCTTCACCCACGACGATGCCAGCGTCGGGTGGTTGTGTGCGTGGCGAAAGGTTGTCGCCATATGACCAATGGAGCGGGGTGATGGTGCTTCGCCTCCTGAAGATGCTGACGTGGATGATGATTGAGAAGACATGGAAGGGCCGGTGCATGATCCCAGGTGAACTGGAGACGCAGGTGCATTGCTTGCATTGGCGTCTTCTGTGCGCATATCCACGATCTTCCTTGCAGGGCAGAGGAACCCCGCACGGCATTTCTCTGTGTTCACTCCGTGGCTGCATTTGAACTAAAGCCGGCAGGTCAATTTAATATCATGCAGGTTACCACAGATTACTTTATGTTCAAGGGAATAGTAGTAGTAGAAACGCGAGCAATGACATGATTAATGAACACAACGCATCGTCAGGTGACTCTATGATAGAGTTCTTAGCATTACCTTGTGATTAAAGGTCCTCCTTTGGACGACAGCACCTTCTCGCCGTATTTTAGCCATTTGAATATCTCAATCTGGCCCGTAGCAGGCGGTAGCTCCATGGCAAATCAGAGCAGGTGTTTTTCCAAGCTGCAAGGAGATGCAGCGCAGAGGCACTACTACCAGTGGTGGTGACAAATGAGAATTTGGGGAACATTCAGTCTCTGAATATTCTGTGAAGACTCTTTTTAGATCTATCATGAGCAGAGTTGGGGCTCTTATCACCTGCAAAGCAAACCCTAGGGAAGGTGAGGGAGAGCTGGTGGGGAGGGTGGGAAGGCAGGGCAGTCTTTGGCTGGACGGTGATCACAGTTACAGTACCCTTCGCTTTCCTCACAGCACGCCAGCATCAGTTTTCGCAACCTATATGGACCGGCATGCCATTCGGGAGCCTAAACCCTAAAATTTTAGGGTTGAGGCTCCCGAATGGCATGCCGTCCATCTGGGGTTTAGTTTTTTTGCCCCGGGCAGTTTGTCATGTTGTCGCCTCCTCTTTGTCGTTTCCTCGCCCGCTCCATTCCGTTGAGATATACTAGGCTGGACGGTGATCACAGTTACAGCACCCTTCGCTTTCCTCACAGCACGCCAGCATCAGTTTTCGCAACTCCCTTGAGACAAGGGCGAGGTGGGGGGAATGAATCATGATTTGGATTCTGATTCTATTTTTATGTGCTGAACTTTCACGGATTCTAATAGTTTCACCTGGGGGTAGTTCAGACATGGCACAAAGTATCACGGTGTCTGTAAAAAAAAAAAAAAAAAAAATGAATATTCGTTAAAGGAACAATTAAACACAGTTGTTTGCAAATCTTCCATTTATCCACATGACACTCAGGACGATTCCAACAATCGAAATACCTCCTCCGTCCTTGCTGCAAAACAACAACCAGCTGTCATGAACAGTAGAACATAAGCACAGAGGCAGCGCACAGTGTAGCAGAGCAGCAAAAATCCGCGTGAATCTGGGATGCCATGGGATGAGATTCGCCTCGGGGCAGCCAATTCGAATGCGAAATGCCAACGACAACCATCCATTGGTCAGCGAAGCTTCTGTCAGAATATTATGCTCTAGCCTGTAGTGGGGTGCTCTATAGCGAGTACAACCCTTCTAGGGTTTGCTATTTGTATCCTCATTCTTGCTAGTGCATCCCTCCTTCTTCTCTTAAACTTTCACATGCTATCAGAGCAGGTCGATCCCCTTGGATCGATCCTGTGGGTGGGCTCACCACCTC